TTCAAATCAAAATGAAAGATATGGGGGGTACAAAATATTCAGAGGTAGTGTAGTTTTTCTGACCTATACTTACATATTTATTTTTTCGGTTGGACTTGGGGGTGTTGTGTGATTAGGGGTAGGGTTTCACAATCTCAAGATTGAGAAAGAGAAAGAGAGGGAGAAAGAGAGATGTTTGTCAATCAAACAGTTTTGTACCTTACTTTAAAACAAAATCTTGGGATCTCAGCTGTGTGTGTGTATGTGTGTGTGACTGAGAGGCCAGGAGAGAGACACCAACACATAGTGCTTCTGTAGCTTTCTTGTAGTGTAACAGTAATAGGTATAAAAACTACAACACTCCATCTATAATTTTCATACAATATATAGTAGTATGATTATGATGAACGGGGCCATTATACATATAGGGACAAATTGCATTAGGCCCTACCCTAACTTAAAAGTTTTCAAACACAGTTTGCTATATCAAATAGGGTCCCAACCAATCTAGGTTTAACCATGTCAAGCAACTTCTGGACAAAACCATGTCACTTCCCGTCCTATCCCTTCTTCCTCTCCCCACCCCCCAACCAATTCAAAATGGAGAAACAAAAAGAGTTAATCTATTTATATGAATATAGTTTATTCGCCTTCGATGATTTTTTTTCCCTTTTTTACTTATATATATATATACATTCTTAACTTGGTCATGAACTCGCGTCACAAATTCTAAAAATAAGACTATTTTCTCGAAATGAAGAAATTTATCCTAAAGTCAACCTAATTAACGGTAGTCCGATGGGTGTGAGGGAACTTGAAAAATCATATCCGAGACCAGGTGGTCTATATCCCTATGACATTTATTAATCATAGTTATCAAATCGTGATACGTATTGTGTATTAAAAATTTAAATTCATGATATGCGTATAGTATTGTGTATTGTATTGTAAGATACAAACTAATATAATTATATATATAAAAATAATATTAAATATCATAGATTCCAGATGTAAGTGATGTATGTATACATATTATTTAGTTTTCAGTTATAAATAAATAAATATATTAAGTTAAATTCAAAATTATTTGAAAATTACACAAACTACTCATACATCACAAGAGTAATGGTAGTAAAAACATTATTGATATATTTTATTTCTACAAAATTAAATTAATATAAATATTATTTTCTATAATATCTGTTGTTATAGCCATAAATTTAAAGGTGAGAAAATTAAACATCTATTATCTATGCTATTATCTATACTTGAGTTAGAGAATGACATTATGAATAAATAATAATTTTAATCTTTTTTTTTTAAACTAGCTAGAATAATCTATTAAACGATGTTATTTTCAATTGAGAAAACTATTTTCTCGAGAATAAGGAATTTGTGCCAAAAGGGTTTGAGGGAACCTGAAAAATAATATCCTAGACCAGGTGGTCTATATATATATATATATATATATATATCCCTTGGACATTTATTTCACTACTATTTACTAATTCGACTTAAATGGAAGCCCTTTGAAATATACAAAATTTTGTTACTTCCTGTTTTTCGTTCACAAAACGCTAACTTGATACTTTGTTTGAAAGATTATCAAACTTCTCGCCACTTAATCCAACAAGTATTAATTTTTATTTTTGAAAATGTACAGGGAATATAAGTCAAATTTATTACACCAATGGTGGGAAAGTGGAACATGCATATATCTCACTTGCAGAGTTTGCAGCCATGCACAGGACAATCAATTCACACCACTCGCAATATCCAGCTTAATCGACCTTTTTTCATATACACTTGTCATAGGGATTAGGATATATATACTAGGTTTTACTTTCATCCCTTTATGTGTGGTCTAGAGAGTTGACCTGCCAATTAGGTATCAACTCTCGTCTTGTTGAAACAGGCTGTTAGCATTTGTTAGATCCTAGAGCTTGGGCAATTGTAATTAAAATATGCACTAAAGAGTACTGAATAGATTTCTCATGCAGAATTTCAAGCAGAAAAAAAACTCATCCCGAATGCAGCTTTTGGCCGAATATCTAGATTTATCTGCAAAATTTCTCGCAGGCCTATCTATTTATGTTACTATATATGTTATCAAATTGTTAATAGAGTAACCTCAATGGCCAACCATATTGAGGAAAAGTCTGATGATGGCTGCATGCCGTTCTAATCAGACCATATTGAGCTATATATATATAGCTATATAGCTCTCTCTATGTATACTAATTAGGCTCTGCTAAAACCCATCGATATTTGGGATTGATTTTGTTTTTCATCAAACACAAGATTCAGTGGAAATTATCTAGCTAGCTGATCAGCTCTCTCTAGGGTCATTTTAAATTTTTTTTTTTTTGGTGTGTTTAATATATACTTATCTTTCGTATCACATAAACCGATTTATTACTGATTTGATTATGATTATATAATATTCGTAATGTTATGCATTTTTTTCAAACCCTAGATTTGCTGGTTTCTTCTTCTACTCCTATATTTCGTTTCAACTTTTGTCCAATAGTTTAGGGTGGTTCGAAAGTTAGATTATGAAGTTTTGAGATTATTTTTACTGTACGGCCGGGGAAGATTATGATAAAATTGATATAAATATATGCGGGAATAGAATTGGATGTATTCAAGTGAATCAAGACACTGGATTATGAGTATCCAACCCATCGTTCGCCTATCAATGATAGGCTATCAACAAGTGGACTATTTGTTGATTTTAAACATCCTTTTATTTTCAACTAATCTCGAATTTTATACGCATCTAAACAATTGATTATCGATTAAATCATTAAAAAAAAAAGTAAATTACGTTTCTTGCTGTCGGCGTAAGGAAATGGGGAGCGAGAAGAGGACAAAGAATAGAGAATGTGGATATATAGATATCAGTGAGAAGTAGTTTCCTAGGTTTGATCAAAATAAAACAATATCAAGCAATCTAATTGGAATTTGAAGAAATCAAGTGATAAGAGGGGCTCTATTACCACAATATTAAACTTTATCTGTTAATTTCCTAGTATTACAGGTTCAAATTTTAAGAATATAAGATGTCTAAATTCTGATGATTAGTTTTCAAAATGTGAAAAGGATGTATGGTGCAACAATATCTGGCTGAATGAAATTTGAATCCCTTCATTAATCCTTCATATAAACAATCAAACCACCCAGAAACCATCAAAATTCTCTAACCCAGTCTTAGGCAAGAAGAAACTACTCTCTCCGTCCCGAAATTATTGTCCAATTTAGATTTTTACTTTTAGTTAAAATAAAAAACTAAAATTGAACAATAATTTGAGAAACAAAGGAAGTGCTATATATCGCGTACTAATCAATCCACCAAGATAGGTTGAAATTTGTCCTTGCCCAGCACCACCAATGGAGGTGCTGGGCAAGGACAAACCAACATGGATGTTCGGTAAAATCGGTAAGTTTTCTATTAGATCAGTGTATGAGTTAGCACTTGACAACTCTCTTTTGCAGGTTGACAGGGACTGGAAGGAGGTGTGGAGATGGAATGGTCCACAGAGAATCCGGTCCTTCTTGTGGCTGGCCTTCCACGACAGACTTCCAACGAAGATGCTGTGCAAAAGAAGAGAAGCTGTTCAGGGTGATACATGTCCTTGCTGCGTGAGGGACAGGGAAACAACGATCCATGCATTAAGGGATTGCTCCTTGGCCAGATAGCTATGGCTGCGCACGATACCTAGGGAGCGACGTCAAGCGTTCTTTCAACAAGGAATTAAACAGTGGATTCGAAGCAATTTGAAAACAACCGATCTCAGATGGGGGACCAACTTTGCTGCCACCTGTTGGTTGTTGTGGAATTGGAGAAACGACTGTGTCTTTAATGAAAGAAGCATAACATTGCAGAACGCAATCAGAGTTGCTATACATAAATCAGAGGTGATTGCCAAGTGTAATGGGTTGATCCAGTGGCAGACAAGGGGAGGGAGCAATCTGGCAAGCCAAGGTTAGAAGAACCCCGATCCGGGCTAGGTAAAGGCCAACTGCGATGGGGCGATGTGCCTAGCCACAGGAAAGGCAGCAGTTGGTGTCTTACTCAGGGATGAGAAGGGCCGGTTCATGACAGCATGCAGCAAGAGCTTGGGAGCGTGTTCTATTGAGACAGCGAAGCTTAGAGCGATCATCCTTGCCATGGAGGTTGCTAAGAAAAAGGGTGTATCCAAATTGGTCGTTGAATCAGATTCTCAGGTAGCTATAAATCGGGTAAATCAACTAAAAAGTGGAGATTCAATGCCCACTTGACCCCGACCTTAGGTGTATATATAGTCTACTACAGCTTAATTGGGAGGTCCACTTTGCTCACACATGTAGGGATAATAATATGTGTGCAGACGCCTTGGCAAAAGCGGCGATTGGAGTAGATTGGGGGTTATATTCTTTTGATGTTCCCCGGGGTTTATAACCCTCCTATTAGAGGCAGATTCTAGAAATGCTTCAACTTTTGTATAATTAGTTCTCCAGCCGTGCGGCGGAGTCTTTTGTTTACCAAAAAAAAAAAGAAAATTTGTACAAACTACTACTGAAATAAAGTTTCCTAAAAGTTTGTATTGCCGTGGAAATGTCTAGTTACATTAATTTTATCCATTTGGCTTTAATTGAGTATACTTTATGTTTCTACTTACTACTACTATAAGTTAATTTTCTACTTACTACGACTATAAGTTAATTGAGTATACTTACTACTACTATACTTGGTGGTGTTCCTGAAGCAAAAAATGCCAGTGGCTAGGGTCTCGATCAATTAATGTTATGACATGGTACTTGATATACCATCATTGTCCACATGCGAACAAGTCTCAGGACAAAGATCCAAAAATATACAGGGAAAACAACTGAACATGCAACGAATTCCACAAGAAATTTAATGCAAAAGAAAGGGAAAAATAACTCTAGTGTGTGTGTGTGTGTTTGAGAGAGACAGCAATAACAACAAGAAAATTAGTAACAGAAGTGAAATAGTTTCAAAAATAGTAGTAAAAGGGCATTGGTGTTTCAGTTCAATTCTAAGTCCCTGTCTCTTCTGCAACCCGCATTTTTCCCATGAATCTACTCCTCAAAACTCAATTCCAAACCCAATCAGAAAACTTTTTTTTGACATTCCAAAAACAACCCTTCATAGCTTTGTTGTCAAATTATACGAGCCTTGAGTACAATCGTCCCAAAAAAAACACAACTAAAATCAAATACTCCATATATTAATAAAGCTGTTTTTTTTTTTCCAAACATGGACAAAAACTCTGTTTTCTCTTTTTCTCTTTCTCGACCCCTCCATTTTGTCAGTGCGTGTTGTTGTTGCAATTCTCCTCTCTTCCTAATTAATTGCTTTTCTTCTTTCTTCTTTCTCTTTCTCTCTGAGTGGTTTGTCAGCTCTTTCCATTAAATGATGAAAATGCCTCCTCCACTTCCTGATCAGAATCCATCTTGAAACCGATTGATCAATGTGGGATCAAACCGGTTTTTCTGCTGCTGATGATGATGGTGTTGGGTGGTGCCCGTCGTTCCACCGCCACCGCCACCGCCACCACCGGCAGCCGTGCAGCTCCCTCGACCCCAACTCAGTCCTGCTCCTCCTTCATGATCATAATTGTTGTTACCCAAGCTGGGAATTCCTTGAGGCCCTATATTTACTGGTGCCCCAATGCAAGTGTAGTTATTAATTGGGCTTTGACTGCTGTTTTCTGGATTGGTGGTGTTTGTAGGGACCACATGGCCGAGGAAGTAATCGGTTGTGGCCGGATAATGGGTGGCCGGAAGTGGGACGAGACGGGTTGGGGAAGGGTACATGTACGGTGGTGGTGGTGGTGGTGGTAACAGGGTGGTGGCTGCGGTGGTGGAATCAGAGAATAGTCTAGTGGGTGGTGGATACATTGATCGGAAATGCATGGATGGATCATTTAGATTGCCGGCTGGATGATGATGATGATATCCTCCCGTCGGAATGGGCTGTCCCCTGCCACCATTAAACATGCAAACAACAATTTCTTAGTGAAAATGAAATCCTACATTTACTGACCTAGAAAGATAACCAAAAAAAAAAGCTACTTTACTCCATTACAAAATTTGAAAGAATGATGTTACTAAAAGAATCAGCAATTTTTTGGATCAAAGAAATAAAAACCAATCAACAATGGAAAGGAAAAAGGGGAGTATTAAGGAGATGATGATGATGGATAAACATACCCTAAATGGTGGTGGTGGTGGTGATGAGGAAGAGGTCCTTGTCCTAAGAGGGAATCAGTAGTAAAGACCAGCTGACGAGCCCGGTTCAGTGTTTCTGTCTCCCTTTCTGCCCAACATCACAAACACACACACTCACACACATCAAATCAAACTATCAAATCATCAACTCTAATAAGTTAACAATAAATCTAAAAAAACCCCACCAAGAATTTCAGCACAAAAAATTCAAAAAAAAATCCCAAATTTCTTGTTTTCTCGTGAAGTGAAAAAAACACAAAAAGAAAGAAAGAAAACCAAAATAGCTTTTGACATGACTACGCTAGCTAGCTTCTTGGGAGGAGAGGCACAAATTAGTACTAGTACTAGAAAGCTATATATTGAATTTACTTAAAAATTATATACTCTCTAAGGCTAGCTGGTGGAAATTAACCTGGATTTAATGCAATGTTGGACATGGAAGGAGTTTGATTATTAGTACTTAAATAAATGTACACAGAGAGAGAGAGAGATTAGAATATGGAGTGGGGGAATAAATTGAAAAGACAAGTTACCCTGACGGTGGCGGTTCATGTGTCCCCCAAGAGCTTGTGACTTGCAGAACTTGAGAGAGCAAAACCTACATTCATAGACCTTCCCATCGTCTTTACCATCCTTATTTCCGCCGCTTTTCTTCTTCCTATAGCCTCCTGCCAATCAATATTATATACCCATTTCAAGAAACTTTGATCAGACCATTCTCTTCTCTGTTCCATCAATTAAATTAAATTACTACTACATGACTTCTCTATTTGATAGATTCTCCCTACCCAATCATGGTAGCATCTATGACATTTTGAAACCAAAAATAAACAAAACCCACAAAAGAAAACAATCCCTCTTCATAGTTTTTCCTTCTAAATGTTTCTAAAGGTAAAGAAAAATCACATCTTTATGAGTCTTTTAGCCTACACTGAAGAGGGAAGGGAAGTAGGACGTACTACTAAATGTTACTTTGAAAGGAAAAAAAAAAAAAACCCCACAAAATGGTGAGTGATTTTCTTCACTGAAGAATCACTGAAAAAAAAAAAATCCCTCTTCATAGTTTTTCCTTCAAAATGTTTCCAAAGGTAAAGAAAAATCACATCTTTCTGAGTCTTTTTGTCTACACTGAAGAGGGAAGGGAAGTAGGAAGTACTACTAAATGTTACTTTGGAAAAAAAAAAACCCCACAAAATGGTGAGTGATTTTCTTCAGTGCAACTCAAAAATCGTTCCTTTTGTGGTGAAGAAGAAGCCATTCATGAAGTTTCTTGTAACTAATACACACAAGACAAAAGTGATGTACCAGAGTCTTCTTTACCGTCTCTATTGTAGTCTTCTGGTAAGTTGTTGAGGTCTAATGGATTTTCTTCTGATCTCCTGGAAAAACAAAAAAGCACCGGAAAAATAAACGTGGGGTTAGAAGATAGTTTAAAGGAAGAAGAAGAAGAAGAAGAAGACATAAAGAAGAAGATAAGGAGAGGGAAGATGACTGTGTGTGTGTGTGTGTGTTTATGAGAGAAGAGACCTACATGGCACCGACCGACAGTGAAAGACAGAAATAAGGGTAGTATGAATGAATGAACTTCACAAAAACAAAATTTTCAGATGTGAAGGGCTTATAAAAACTAAAACTTGGGGAGGAGGATTATAAAGAACTTCCAGTTTGGAACTGAAATGTTTTTTTCTGTTCCTTCTTTCTTTCTAAGAGAGAGAGGTAGTTGGAGTTGGAGTTTGGAGTTTGGAGTTGTTGTTATTGTGGAGTGATGATGAAGAAAAAGAAAAAAAAAAGGCTCATGTAATAAATAAATAAAAAAGGGTCTCTGAGTTATACTACACTCCTTTCTGCCACCCTCTCTTGAGACATATATTTTCTCCCTTCTCACACTCTTCACAGAGTCTCGTGACTTTAAAAAGGAGTTATGTTTTGGACTTTGGAGAGGATTTTTGAACAGTAAGAAGAGAAGAAATGTGTTGTCATTTGGTTAGGATTGAGCGGGAGAGGGATTGAGAGGGACATTGCAGCCTTACAAGTATTAATGTCTTTGGTGCATTCTCATTAAAAAAAAATAACAGTGTGTGTGTGTGTGTGTGTTTTTCTTTTTGTTTTTGGCTCTCTCTCTCACTCTCACATATGTATCTAGGTTTATTGCCCTAGCTGGTCAGGGTCTAGTTATTGTTTATTTAGTCGTTTCTCATCTCTCATTCATACTATGTCCAAATGGCTTTTCTGTGGAAGTGCATGAGTAAATAAATATTGGCTACTACTACTTGCAGTGTTGATAAAATAAAAAATTAAGAAAAAAAAAAACTCGTATATGTATGCAAATTAGTGCATGATATTGACGTTTCAGGAAGGGGCTCTTTTCGTGCCATCTAATTTATGTTCAAGATTTTGCCATTTAGAGGCCGGTCTTTACTATTCCAGTTAGGGGTTCTATAGAAAAAGGAAATTTAATGACCACGGTTGTTGGAAATCAAGTTATAAGAAATCTGTCCTCTTTTAAGCATGATTCGACGGGGCCGAAATGCAAGTATTTATAACTAAGACTTTTACATCTAAAGGATGAAATGATGATTAATTTGAACGTGATATATATTTTCATAAAATTAGTTTATATCGGTACCAATGTAAGTTCTTTTATCATAATGATAACAAAAAAAAAGAAAAAAAGAAAAGACAACCCTAATTACAATGTCTGAATTTAGAGTACTTCAGATCAGAACATCGATCCTTTTTTTTAAGTAAATCAAACCTCCAAATAAAACAAAGAACAAAGACCTTCAAACAATGAATTGCATCCCGCTTAGTGTATAGTACACATCTTAGAGTAGGTTACTGTTCCAATCATAGTAGAATTGTTTTAATTTGGAGGATGATCTATGGAAATTGACAAGAAACAAGTTGATATAGTCATTAGTTTGAAGGCAGGATTAATTGACAAGATCTCAGCTTTTTATATAACACTTCTCATCTATACACACAGGATTAATTTACACATTTGTTTGAAGGCAGTCAAAAAACAAAAGCAAAAAAAAATAAGGCTACATATAGCACACAATATCCTGTTCATGTCTGGTTTGTCATAATTAATTGATATGTTTTCTAGTTTCAGGCATGCATGCTATAGAGCTAGAGAGATTATTATGATTCAGACAGAAAGCCTGGCTAGGGCCTCATGGTACAAAATTGCAGTACCTTGATCATTGATGTGTTTCCATCACTAGGATACATATCAATCTTGTTAATACAATTGCATTCCAATTCTTCAAAATAAAATAAAATAAAATAAAATCCCATAGGTATGAAAGAAACAAACAAACAGAGAGAAATTTGAAAAATAAAATAAAATTCTAGAAAAGATAAGTCCATATATGAATATCTATATAACTGCACTTTGGATGGAGTTGTTTACTCATGAACAGTCAAACATGTGCAATGGCTTAATCGGAACTGAAGGAATCTTGAAGCACTTGACGGGTTTGTGTTTCAACGATTAAAAGTATGTGATTTTTTATATATTGACAGACAATATAAAACAAATTAATTATAGAATTGAGAAAAGGAAAACCCATTCAATATGTACGTGTATCCAAAACATGGCCAAAAGCAATTAAGTTGATTCGAAAAATTGGATATGAAGTTTCAATTATAGTTTAAATCAAGATTAATTGGATATCAGTTGAGGGGCATGCATCTCAAATCATGTTCTGAAAAATTGACTTATTATTAATTTTGATAGAAAAGTTTATTAATCAACTTGTTACTTCAATTCTTCAAGAATGAAACAATAAAATTCTTAGACATCAAATGAGTAACTCAATTTACATGTGTCTACCGTCTATGAAGTTGAAGAAGTCATATATATGAATCAACCGCCAGTCCATTTAAATTTGCTTAAAAGTCTTATAACAAAATGAACCCAGCTCAAAAACTTGATCATGTTTAGTTCCAACTATGAGCATGCATAAAGCCGGACCAATTGTTTCGTTTTTTAAAACAATTAAAAAGAACAGAAAAAGAAAAACATCTAACTGCCGTGTTAAAACACCAAATGAACAGTATCATAATATTCCTTAGTCCCTTCGGTTTATAAATCACAATCTAAAACCAAACATGATCGATTTTTTAGCTCTGTCCCTTTTTCTTTTTTTTTTTTTTAACAGAGAAGAGGGCAAAAGCCTAGTTACAGACAATCATGACATTTCTTAGATAAGAAATGCCAATTAAGTCATCACAAAATTTAAACCATCTTATTGGTCAAGCATTACCCATGTCATCAGTCTGACATTAATATAGACGGGATTAGAACTCCAAGAGACTAATTTGAATAATTTCGTTTATTTTCCTTTCCCCCCTCATCGGGCAAGCCTTTGTTGGCGTTTAAGAATATGTTAGAGAAATACCAGGACAAATAGTGTGTGGTGCTTTATGAGAGGTTATGTGTATTTATTAGTTCATTTGACTATTGCTTGGTGTTCTTAAGTTATGTGCTTATTACTTCAACGTGGTGTTCTTAAGTTTAGCAATATCTCTCTCCTAAAAAATAGTTCACGTTGAGTTTTAAGAAAAAATAATACTTCATATTTAAATTTCAAGATTTGTACTAATTTTAGTATTTCAAAATTTAATGTGTACTATTTTTTGGGACAGAAACAATATTATTAATCTATGTTTCATTTTGTCTTGTGTTAGAACTTGAAGTAGAATCTGTGCTCAATTACAAGAGTAGACATCTGCAATCCATAGTTTAGGTTAATCTTTGGTACACTTATGAGATTACACTATTATTATTTAAGATTATGTCTAAGATATTACGACTTCATATTGGCTGAAGTATCGCAATTGTATGAGCACTGGATGCTTTGGTTAAAAAATTGCCTAAAAAAAGGAGTAGAGAGATCTTTTTTTTTTTTGTAAAGCAAAATATGGAGATCGGATTTACAAAATCCGAACTACTAATTAAATTAGTAAATCGGATTTTGAAAATTCGACCTAATAAAATAATATTTTTTTTTCAGAAAATACATGTGAAAAATAGTATATATTTTTTGTGGTCAAATAATGAACAGTGAAAATCCGACCTTGTTTTTTTAAAAAAAAAACTGAAGGGCGGGAAAATTTAGGGCGGGAAAATTTGAAAATTTAAAAATAAGTGAACAGTAAAATCGGATTTTGAAAATCCGAACTTCTTTTTATTAAAAAAAATCTTTAAGTGCAAAAAACATTGAAAATTTTTCCGAGTTTTGATAAGAATTCACATTAAATTGACCTATCCACTTTCAAAAAAAATTTTAAAAAAAATTGTATTAGATATGGTAATAATAAAATCTTATATTACTAATAATTAGGAATTTTCATTAAAATAATGAAAAAAATATATTACTAATGTTGTGTAGTACTATTAAAACTGTTAGGATATTTGTATTAAACTAATTCATTATAATTCATCTATACTAGTGTTAAATATTATTTATACGTACTAGTGTTATATAGTACATTAATAATATTACTCACTACATATCATTGGTACTAGTGTTACTTATTATTGTTAAATCTATTAGTCATTAGATATTATCTAGATTAATGTTACATAATATCATTAATACTACTACGACATAAGTATTACATATATACTAGTATTACTTATTATTATTAACATTGTTACACATCATATATCACATGTACTAGTAATACAGATTATCAATAACACTGTTACACATTACTATCATTAACATTGTTACCTATTACATATTATTGTTATACTATTGATACACATTACTATTAATATTGTTTTTTTATTTTTAAACATTATTTATCATCTGAACTAGTATAACATAATACTATTAATACTGTTATACATTAGATATCACTTGTACTACTGATACATATTATTATTAATACTGTTACAGATTATTATTATTAATATTGTTATCCATTAATAATAATAGATAACAACACATACTAGTGATACATATGTATTAGTGTTAGAAAGTGTTGTTAACTCTGTTACTCAGTACAAAACACACGTACTAATGCTATAAAATACCACACACGTACTAATGCTAACATTGATACATCTATTTTTGCAGATTATATTGATACAATATCAGATTTGAAATATGAATTTTCAGTTAAATCGAATTTATATAGAAAATCGGATTCTACAAATCCGAATTTTGATACAATCGGATTTCACAAATCCGAATTTGCTAATACAACCGGATTCCACAAATCCGATTTTAGGGAAAAATCGGATTTCCAAAATCTAATGTAAAGGAAAATCCGGAATTCTGAAATCCGATTTAGGGTTTAATTCGGATTTACAAAATCCGACCTAAATCAAAAAATGAATTTAAAAAATCCGATTTTTCCCTAAAATCGGATTTGTTGAATCCGTTTTAATCAACAAATTTAGATTTTTAATATCCGAGTTACGTTGAAATTCGAATTCCCAAACTCCGATTTTATTTTATTATGTGGGATTTTGGAAATCTAAATTTTTTCTTCCATCACCGGGTTCCTAATGTTCCTTGTATTGGTATGAGCATTACAAGAATTGTAAATTTGAGATATCAGTATTAGTTTTACTTTTAAAATTCAGTCTACTTTTTTTAGAAAAAAGTTCTGTTTAATGTCGGATTTAGCAAATCCGAACTTAGTCAAACTAAACTAATTATTGTGTTTTATATTTATATGGATGAAAAATAGTTTTTGTTATTATTGTGACATATTTTGACTGGTTTAAAAATTAGTTTATCCCTTATTTATAAAAAATAAATAAATCTTGGTGGAAGGACGGATTACCTTGTTTTTTTAAAAAAAAAAATTAAAGGGCGGGAAAATTTGAAAATCTGAAAATTTAATTGAAAATTTGAAAATATGAAAACAAGTGAACAGTAAA